ACGTCTATGGTTCTTACTGATGAGCTTTCTGATAAACTTCCAGAAATAGAAACATTGGGCAAAGAGTATGAACATATGGGCAAAGTCCCCTTCTCAAATATTGAGTGCACAATTCCTTTTTAGTAATCCTTGTCAGCACAGAGTGTTATTATTTCTTATCTTCATTAAGGGGATAGGTGAAATTTTATCAAATTGTTTTATTCTTCACTTACATGATAGTGAGGTTGAGCATTTATGATTGGTAGTCATTCAATATATCCTGGAAATGAGCTTTTTAGATCAAGTGCCCATTTGTGGCCAAAGTCCTGCCCTACCCCATGATTGTCATTTGTTTTAAAATTCAGATTACAGTTCAGACAGATAGAAGACAATTGCCCCAACTGCCTCAGCAAACTTCTAGGAAAGTGATTTTTCCCAAATGAAAACCCGATCATGTTATCATTTATTAATCGCCTTAAACTTCCTCCATAGGAGGACAGTGGGAACCCCAAATGCATTTGCAGAGTAGTCAGATGAAGCCTTTGGCAGATCCACTCTGGCCACAGGTGAAGGTTTGAACAGCTTCACTATCAGACAGAGATGATTGTAACTTGGATTACGGTGGCTCCAACTAAGGTACAGCATGATACTTGGCCAGTTGACCTCCCTCTGAACTCAATCTGACTTTGTTCTAGGCTAAATTATTTCTCACCTGTTCCATGACCGAAATTTCTTCTTTGGCTTTGTTTTTTAACCTTGCTGGTAATCTTTACTTTATTTTTATCTTCACATTATTATTATTTTCTTTCTTCGTTCTCTTTTATTTTTCGGTTAGGTTTCCCCATTTATGAAGCACAGAAGAAGTGGATGCATAGAGACAATAACTGAAGGGGATGGGATGGGGTGGAGAATGTGAGGGGGTTTGGGAGCATACAGTGAATGTGGGTGGGGGGCTCTAGAACTGATTGTGATGATGTATATATAACTCTGTTTAAAAGCAGATTAACTATGGAAGTTATGATATGTGGATTTTATATCAAGAAATCTCCAAAAACAAAAGAAAGAAACCAAAGATGGCCAATAGTGACCATGGGTGGAGGAGGAAGAGTTGTTGTGTAGGAAGCATTGGGCGTACATTAATGGTGGTGGAATAATTTGAAAAAGGATATCAAGAATGGCTGTACAACACAAAGAGTATAAACAATGACACTGAATCATACATGTAGAAGTTGTTTATTTGGAGAATGGTTTGTGGTATTTATTTTCGCCACCTTTAAAAATTACACTGATAATAAAATACAAGGAAGAAAAAATGTTCTAAAACTGTGGTTAATGATTATACAACCATATGATTGAACTATTGAATTGTAGGATGTGCATGAAGTGCCAATAAAGCTTTAACAAAACTTCCTCCGTAGCTTTCCAGTGGTCCCAGCGGCCCATTCAGACACCTAGTTCTGGTCACAAAGAGGCTGTAGGCTGTGACAGCTCCATTGCCTCCTTCCTGCTTGCCTCAGCTTTCTTCCTTTCGAATGCCTACCCAACCACCAAGTAACATTTGGTTGCCCCAAACCACATCTTTTCAGGCCTGTAGATAATAGTGCTTGCTCTCCTCTTTCTAGGACATTCTGTCCTCTCTCCTCTGGCTGCCAAACTCATTTTCTTCCCCGAAAAGCTCATCTAAGTACCAAACATTCTGAAACCTCTCCTCCTGCTTCAAGGGATTTTAATGCTTTCATTTATTGTACCTTCCTGTGCTCCTATCCAGCAGCCCAGCCATAGCGGTTTCAGGATGGCACTTCCTTTGCAGTGATGGATTTTACCCACACATTGAAAGTCAAGGCAAACCTTTTACTTAATGATGTAGGAGATCTGTTTGAATAGGACTCTGGCTGTCTTTGGCCTCCTCCACATCTTGTGAGGACAGCGCAGGACTGGGCAGTGCGCCATCCTGTTGGGCATAGGGTCACTCACTATGGGTCGGAGCCAGCTCCTTGGCACCTAACAACGTCATTTTCCAGAAAAAGCAATTCCCTAGGAAGCTGGGCCATGTTTATTCAGTGAGTTGGACAACTTCCTGGCCCTGTATCCTGGCTGATGGTTAATGAGGGTCCTCGTTAGAGGAGAAAATGTGTTTACAAGTCTGTCTTCTCCTAAAGCAGTGGTTCTCAATCTTCCTAATGCCGCGATCCTTTAATACAATTGCTCATGTTGTGGCCACC